ATATGAAACAAAGTGACCACCTAATCATTGTTTATCAGCTATTGTTTCATAAATTGATGCGGTGATTGGATTAAGATTACCAAAACCCGTACTACTAGAACTTGCTTCATTGGTAGTTCCAAAAGATTGGGCTTGTCCAGGAGAATAAGGCATGAAAATTACTTTTGACCCCGAAGCTTTTGACATTGAAGCCATTGCTTCAAGATACCGAATTTGCTATTATAAAAATAAAAATAAAGAATTTTAGTAAATTAAAAAGAATTAATTATAAAAAGATTAATAATAAGACTTAAAGATATTTTTCATAATGCGTACCATAGCAGCAGGAGAGTTTAAGAGTTCGGCGGCTTGCCTCATGAGCTTAGCAGAGTCAACTAATATGTAAATTTAGTTAGCATTAATGATTTAATGCATCATTAATAATTATAATAAATAAAAAGATTTTACCTTCGGCCTGAGCCAAGATAACTTTGCTTTCACCAATTCTTTTTTGTTGAGCAGCGGAAGAAAGAGTTTGTTGTAACTCTTTAGAGAATATTATATCACGAATCAAGATGTTTTCGACCTTTAATAAAGTTTATACGATATGCATTAGTTAAAATAAAATAACTGAGAATAATTACATTATAAAGAATACATAATTACTTTAACGCCCCAACCGTGAGCAGGTTCATCAATAATTTCTTTTATTTCAAAAGCAATTGCTTCACGACTTTCGATACAATCTTGAAGAACACGAGCGCCAAGAGTATGCCTCAAAGTAGTTTGAGTACTGCGAAATTTAAAACTTAATATGTATTTAAATAATATATTATTCTCAAGTCAAATAATTACCGGTCAATGAGAGCTTTGCGAACATTAGTGACACCAAAGGTAGCTTGATAAGGGTCAATAATATGCCAATATAGAACAGAATCTATATGGATGTATACATTATCCTGTATATTTATTAATGTATATTAACATTAATGAATATAGACACCAACCAAACGGTTCAGACGGACATAAAATATACCTTTGTCATGATGGCTTGCCTGGGAATTTCAGAAATTTGTATCTAATAAATATATTAGATATGTTGTAAGTTAATATGAATATTCAAACAAAAGAAATTATTCAGATACTTTAGAAAATAAATTACCCTCATATCGACTGGAATTAGATTTTCAGTCACAATATTCACTTTAGTCAAACCTGGATCAACAATTTTATAAAATTGACCTGAAAAACATCTATATAATTAGTAAAACATACAGTTCAAATAAATGCACAAATAAACACAATGGCGTACCGAAACGCGAAATTAACCCAACATTTCCTTGCATAACCCTTTGATAAGGATTACAACAACTGCAACAACAAAATGGAATCTAAATATACCAATGAATAATTAATGTAAATACTATGGATAGAGCATTATTTTGAAACATAATTATTACTTACTGATCCGAAAAACCCACAAATATTTCCTAAAGCATTCATCATTGAGCTATAAAATCCATGAGGATTATTATTTAAAGGAAATGTTTCAGAATAGGTAGTCTGCATTGGTTGAACTCCTGAAGGCTTTTTATATTAATATAATCGAGTTTAATATGGGTGTAAAAGAAACGTTTTTAAAATTATTTGCCGTTTAACAAACCTGCATACTAATAATTCCTTGATCATTGCTACCAGAAGGTATTGTCGAGTTAGACTTATCTACTTTTTTTCCAGATGACATGTTATAATTAATATTTAATGATGGTTATAATCGTTATTAAAGCTTCGTTGGTCAAAAAGAACAAGTCCGTCATGCGGAATATAGTGTTTATTTATAATTTACAGCTATATATATATATATATACGTAGATTATTAATTGGTGCACTAATCATCAAAAACATATCTTTTTTAATATTCATAAAGCACCACTATTTTTGTCAAAACAAAGGATGATCTTTCTTATGTCCTGTTACGCAATTAAAGTACTACGTAGAATATCATTTATGTAATTGACTGATTAATGTGACCGCTGACCAATAAAATCAACAAAAATCATTATTCGAATAAATTATTAATGAAGTTATTATATATTAACTTTATTACGTATATTATAACTTTATTTACGTATGTATGTACATTTTATGTTAAAATACGTACGTATACGTAATCTTTATTGAATAGCGAATGACTTTGATCTAATAATTCATCTACCATCAAAATGTCGTCTCGATAAAATTCTAATGAGCCTAAAATCGCAAATCTAAAAGTTGAAAGTCTTGCCAAAATTGAAAGTTGAAGGTTCTATTGAAAGTCAAAAGTTTTATCAAAAGTACTACCAAGAGTTGAAAGCCCTGCTGAAAGTCGAAAGAAGTATTTTTGGTATGATTAGTGATGGGTAAATTGGCCTTTTTTCAAATTTCATGCGCATCATACGCATGGAATTCTGGCTTGCTGCTAATGCGGGCCAGAATTATGAGATAACGAAATATTCTGAAAATTCCGATATATTTCCATGCGTATGGGCACATCACTAGGTATGATGAATGCTTTAATAAATTTGTTATGCAGACTGAAAGGTAAAAAGTTCTATCAAAAGCCTTGCCAAGAGCCATTACTGAAAGTCAATACTGAAAGTCAAAATGTCACTAAATACGTATTAATGTCCAAATAGTCAGCGTTTATGGATCCGCTGTATAGCATGTGATGTTGTTACTGTACACTAAATTCCATTTTAGTCGAAATGCATCAAACACTTATTACCAGTCATTTTAGGTAGCGTTCCCACAAAAAATTGTTCATCCTCAGTAATTTTGACCAATCAAAATTTAAGATCAGGTGTCAAAACAGACGTGTTTTGTTTTCTAAGTAAAAAAGTTACGCGTAAAATGAAAACCAAGAAAACCGGGTTATAATTAGGGTTAGGATTAGAACAATACAATGCTTATTAGTAAAACATCACGAGGAACATTTTTAATTAGGCAGCAGAAGGTGGTTTCCTAATTAAAATTTAGAGTTATTCTTGTTTTTTTGTAAAAAATAGGTTCGTTTCAATTTTTACGTTACACCTGATCCTGAAATTCGATTGGTCAAAATTACAGGGGGTGAACAATTTTTTGTGGGAGAGCTAGGGGCGTCTTACCAGTCGATCGAGATGTCACGCAGTAGTGTTCCGCACGGACCGAATCGGGCGAATATTTTTAAAGATTCGGATTTGATCCGAAGTACGAATCGAATCCAAGTTAGGATTCGGAACCGTACAATGTAGATCCGGATTCGATTCGATCCGAACCTAACCATATTCGTGAAAGATCTCTTTTCGGCAGTTTGCACACAATTCAAACTTTATACATCAATATATAGTTAATTCTCTCTAAGCACGAACTCCCCATAAGTGCTTCATTATCTTAAGCTATACTATCGGAGTAAATGCAAAGCTATCTAAGGGTATTCTTAAGAGCCTTAGGTTCAATTTTTAATTAGTAGAAATAAATTATACGGTCAAGCGAGTTTATTATGGTAATGAGAAGTCAGAGACCATTTTTTTTTATTATTAAGTTGTGCTGATTGGCTAAATTTAATATCCACATAAATCTTCGACAAAATTACCGTAAGGATTACTTCAATAATTGCATTACTTGTGCACGATTTGTATAGTTAGCTAATCACAGAGAGAGATACTTGAGAGCACCCTTAGTCAATCGGAATGGGTTGAAAATAGATTTTAATTAGTAAAAAAGTTTTAACAAATTAATCGCATTTATTATTCCAATAACTAAATCATGTGGTGATAGTCAAAGAGAAAATTTTAATGAGGGGAAAATCATTTAACCGATCAAACGTATTTATCATTCCAATTAACAAGAAATGGAGGCTCAGGCGCCCTCTTTTTACGTAGAGTTGCACTTATTGGTCAAAATTTTTCATTGACTAATTAGAAAAAATAGTTCAAGTGCTTCGCTCTTTTTACATTAGCATTATGTTATAGATCTTAAAAATCGTTACAAACATGACGAATTATTACCTTATGCTAAAAATCGTCGCAAATAAAAAATTCACAATTTTTGTGTTTGTAAAAGAAACAGAATTTGAAAGTGTTGCAGAATGCACCCTATCCTTTCATTGATCTATCATTTTTTTTATTTCGATCTTGTAAAAACAATCCTCAATTAATCAAATGAGGGAGATACATGAGAACAATTCAATTGTATTATTATTTATATTATTGGTCTTCGGGGTGGTCTGATTAAATAATGTTATGATGGTTGTACACCATCACAATCACTAGCAAATCAATCAAGCTTGCTGCTTGAGAACACCCTAAGTGCAGTGGTCTTCAGTCATTTGCATTTAAAGAGAATTGTCTATGTTTATGCCAAAGAATTTCAATTTGTAAATTTATAAGCAATTTATTCATATAAATTTTTAAAATTTATTTAAATACAATATATATATATAATTTAATACATATACGCAGAATTATAGATTTCCAAATATAGTAAAAAACTTTTGTTGGATAAAATCGCCTTGAGTAAATTGAGTACCAATGCTAAAAATCTGTAACTTGAGATGTAGGATAAATTGTAAGAACCCTAAAATAGGTAAATAACAGATTAAAAAATACTTATGTATATAAAATTAAAATAAGATAAAAAAGCATTCCATTAAATTATTAAAAAAAAAATACATTATAACTATTTTACAAATTACATATGAGTGTCGCTAAAAGAAAACCTGAAAATTTAAATATAACTTATATTTAAATTTTTAGATTTTCTTTTAGCGACACTCATATGATCCTTATATAAAAACCAAATTTATCAAATTTTACAAAAATCAAAAAATTAATTCAAATATTACATATATTTGTGTTAATCTTCTAGTTCTTTCCACCATGATCTTAAGCACATTGCTGCTTGTACAGTTTTTCTATCTAATCAATTTCATTTGTTGGTTATCATATCACCACTAATGCTAAATATTTCTTCACTGAGAATACTAGTAGCAGGTATCAAAAGATAATCTCTAGCAAATTTTGCAAGATGTGAATAGCCAGCTTCATTCACCTGCCACTATTCTAAAATATCTGTGTGAGGATCTACATGTAGTATCATTAAATATGTATCAAGCTCACTTTGATATTCTGTGCATATTCATTTGTAGATTCGTGATATTATATTTTTGGGTGGCTTAATAGTAGAGCTTGCTGTTTTCTGAGGTGTGTATTGGCCTTCGTATTGATCTTTAATACTTTAAAATAATTATTGAGTAAATTAATATATATATTATTAGAAATAAAGATATGCATTAATTAAGCTCAATATATTATTAGTTTCCTGTATATTTTAGTGATCTGATTATGAAATGCGAAGTTCTACTTTATAACATTTTCATTAACCTTAATAAATTATTTCTTTTCTAATAATTTTTCTTATAGTATCAACTTTTCTTACATTATCACTTTCATAGCATTATAACTTTCCTAATAATACTATCACAATTTTTTTTTAAATTATTTATTATTATAACCAATTCATTTAATCTGTAATGAATTCTTGATATCAATTGTAGAATCATATTATTATATAAATAGTTTTAAATAAAATACTGAAAAAATAAATAAATAAAAAGTAAAAATGCCATATTGTCAGTAAGCTTATTATTATTGTTACATATCCAAATCTGCAATTCTTTTCACCTTCTTGTTTAAGTCAATTTCATTATTGTTCAGTATTATTGACTAGAAGCTAAAATCTTACTAGGTTTCTATATTATTAATAAGTTTAGTTACCATTGCTCGTAGTATATTCTAATCTGTGATTCTTTTCATTTCCTTATTAAAGTTAATTTTACTGTTGCTTAATGTTATTGACTGAAAGTTAAAATTCTATTAGATTCAATTATTTCTTAATATTCGAGTATCGTCAAAGAAAAATTTCGCTTGAGAAAAAAAACTATTTTAACACTAAGATCCTATATATAGTCCTTTTACGATATACTAAATAGTTTTACAATATAATAACTATATTATTTAGTTTAAATTTAAATGACTTTTCTAAATAACATAAATAAGTTTAGTACATATCAGATATATACTATATAAATACATATGTACATATATAATTTAAAATATATGTACAATCTTTGTATTTTGAAATCTAAACCTTAATGTTCTATACGATTTTCTATCTTTATATATACAGTACAACCTCAATATAACAAAGCTCTGGAGCTGGGGTGTTTGGTTCAATATATCAAGGCTTCGGTCCACTGAGGTACCTTGCTATAATGAATCTATATAGTCTTATATACCTTACTATAACGAATTTATGTCTTTGGTTTAAAATAAT